CTTTCTACGTGATGTGGCAAGCAGATTAAACTCTATTCCTTGACAGATATTGAATTCCAGGGAGACTCTCTTAGAGCTGTTGGCCCAGTTTAACCCAGTCAAAACTGGGTCATAATTTAATTATAATCCCATCTCTGAGCAAATCAAAACCATAGGACCAGTCTAGATAAACATATCCAACACTGCTCATGTCATGACTGGTCAGGTTTGGTTGGTTGGTAAATGACAGAGACCTCTTTCAATTAACTGAATGATGCTTTCCTGTCATTTGAAAGTGCACCTTAAGCGCACCACAGCTGTATAAAGACAGTTCTACTCTGTCTGGATGAAAACCTGTCACACATTAACACTTTGTTGGACCGCCTTTGATTATGGCACACATTCGCTATGACATCGTTTTCACAAGTTTCTGCAATGTCACATTTATTTTTGTCCAGAGTTGCACTTTTTTTTGGTCAAGATCTTGTATAGATGATGAAAAATTGGGACCACTGTGCAAAGTCTTCTCAAGCACATCCCTAAGATTTTCAGTGGGGTTCAGGTCTAGACTCTGTGGTGGCCAATCCATGTGCGCTAATGATGTCTCATGCTCCGTTAACCTCTCTTTCACAATTTGATTCCAATGAATTTTGGCTTTATCATCTTAGAACATGCCTCGGAAGAAAAAAAAAAAATCACTGATGGAATAACCTGGTCGTTCAGTATATTCTGGTCATCAGGTGACCTCATTGTTTTGGTACAAAACGTTGCTGAACCTAGACCAGACCAACTGCAGCAACCACAGTCTGGTCTCAGTTCTGCTGCCTCACTTCTTACACTGATGCACACTCCCCACTGTCCCTCCAGTTTTTAACAATGTTTTGGACAGTTAATCCAATTTTTGTAGATTCTTATCTCATTTTAGATGTTTTCTCTGCTTGATGCGTGCCGGAAACAGATTAACATCTTTTCCATGACCCCAGGAGGTGCCTTTTCATGTGTTTGTGTGGGAGTCTGTGTTTTATTAGTGTTTTGTGTTTAGATTTTGTTTTCGTTTTGTTTTCTTTTGTCATTTTTTCAACGTTCTTAGTGAGTTTTCCTCCATGTAGTCAGTTCCAGCTCCTGCCACTATCACCTGTGACTCACTGTCTTTCCCCAGACGTTCGTCATTGTGCCTCGTTAGTATCCCTTTTAAGTTCAGCGTCTTTGTTTTTCCTCATTGTGTGTGGATAATGGTTCCCACAGCTATGCATGCTCTGTTTCCCTCCATTTCTCCCTGTTCCCATTTGTTATGTAACTTTTGCTGCCATGGTAGCTTTTGTTTCATTTTGTTCCTCATAAAATAAAGTTATTCTTCTATCCATGAGTTCCCCATGCCTGTCTACCCCTGTATTTGAACCAGTGCAGAATACTATATTTAATAAATGAGGCCATGAGATAAAGCTACTTACTACATCAATTAGGGTTAAATAACTTGTTGCCAGCTGAACCATAACCCATGCAGTATTTTTCCAATGGAAGTCTCTTACCTATTTGCTTAGTTAAATCCAGGTGGTCACCATTTTTTTTTAACTTACAGAGAGGAAAATAAGTATTTGAACACTCTGCGACTTTGCAAGTTCTCCCACTGAGTAATCACGGAGGGGTCTAAAATTTTCATGTTAGGTGCATCGCCACTGTGAGAGACATAACCTTAAATAAAAAAAATACGGAAATCACAATGTATGATTTTTTAATAATTTATTTGTGTGTTACTGCTGCAAATAAGTATTTGAACACCTGTGAAAATCAATGTTAATATTTGGTACAGTAGCCTTTGTTTGCAGTTACAGAGGTCAAAGGTTTCCTGTAGTTTTTCACCAGGTTTACTGCAGCAGAGATTTTGACCCATTCCTTCACACAGATCTTCTCTAGATCAGCCAGGTTTCTGGGCTGTCTCTGAGAAACACGGAGTTTGAGCTCCCTCCGAAGATTTTCTATAGGGTTCAGGTCTGGAGACTGGCTAGTCCACTCCAGAACCTTGATGTGCTTCTTACAGAGCCACTCCTTGGTTCTCCTGGCTGTGTGCTTCGGGTCATTGTCTTGTTGGAAGACCCAGCCTCGACCCATCTTCAATGCTCTAACTGAGGGAAGGAGGTTTTCCCCAAAATCTCGCAATGCATGGCCCCGGTCATCCTCTCCTTAATACAGTGCAGTCGTCCTGTCCCATGTGCAGGAAAACACTCCCAAAGCATGATGCTTCCACCCCCATGATTCACAGTAGGGATGGTGTTTTGGGGATGGTACTCATCCTTCTTCGTCCTCCAAACACGGCAAGTGGAATTAAGACCAAAAAGTTATATTTTGGTCTCATCTGACCACATAACTTTCCAGTGACTCCTCTGGATCATCCAAATGGTCATGGGCAAACTTAAGACGGGCCTGGACGTGTGCCGACTTAAGCAGGGGTATGCATGATTTTAAACTATGACGTCTTAGTGTATTACCCACAGTAACCTTGGAAACAGTGGTGCCAGCTCTCCTCAGGTCATGGACCAGCTCCTCCCGTGTAGTTCTGGGCTGATTCTTCACCTTTCTAAGGATCACTGATACGCCTCGAGGTGAGATCATGCATGGAGCCCCAGTCCGAGGGAGATTAACAGTCATGTTTAGCTTCTTCCATTTTCTAATAATTGCTCCAACAGTTGATCTTTTTTCACCAAGCTGCTTGGCAATTGTCCCATAGCACTTTCCAGCCTTGTGGAGGTCTACAATTTTGTTTCTGGTGTCCTTGGGCAGCTCTTTAGTCTTAGCCATGTTAGTAGTTGGAGTCTTATTGATTGTGTGGGGTGGACAGGTGTCTTTATGCAGCTAACGACCTCAAACAGGTGATTCTAATTTAGAATAATCAGTGGAGTGGAGGTGGACTTTTTAGAGGCGGACTAACAGGTCTTTGAGGACCAGAATTGTTGCTGATTGACAGGTGTTCAAATACTTATTTACAGCAGTAACACACAAATGAATTATTAAAAAATCATACAATGTGATTTCTGGATTTATTTATTTTTTTAGATTATGTCTCTCACAGTGGACATGCACCTAAGATGAAAATTTCAGACCCTTCCATGATTTCTAAGTGGGAGAACTTGCAGAGTCACAGCGTGTACAAATACTTATTTTACTCACTCTATGAATTTTGATAAACATTCACAGAAGTTGTGGATCATTTAAATGTGCAACGGCTTTTGTGTCTTCAATTAGGGCAGATTTGTTTTCTGTTCTAAGCTGCAGGAGAAAGTTTCCACCAAACTCAGGCAAGCACAAGTAATGGCTAAATAAAGCTTACTTGAGTTAGCTTTGTGTAAGCAAGAATCATTCCTGCAATGCATGTAAGAAAAAAAAACACATTACCTCCCATATAATTTCAACATTAACTCAGAATTTTTTTTTTTAAATCAACAAAAAAAACAACTTTGTTCCATTCACTGAAAGATTTCCTACTCTGTTCATCTTTTATTTCAAAGACTACAGGAATATACATTACTTTGTCTACAAATTGAAGAGCTTCTAAAGCCATTCAATAGACTTTTCACTGAAATACACAATTTTTTTTTTACTTCGACTGATTATGATACTTTGCTATGTTGCTCACCATAGTAATCTATAAACAGCAAAACAAAAACATAAAATAACATATGTGACTGTTTTATCTATACACAGATACCAGCTGAAAGTTTAATAACAGTGGCAACAAATGAAAAAATCAGACAAGTGCTTATTTTGGTGCTGAGTTGAAATAATGCAAAATCATATTTTTTGTGTGTTATGAACTTAGATTTAGCAATAACTTAATTAAGACAGGAATCCTCATAACTCTGCAGAACACAATGGTCTACTATCAGATTAAATAGCTACAAGTTTGAATGCATATTGATAGCAACCGAGCACTGTATTGTAGCATAACTACATGTTTAACTCGCTTACATTTACATTGTTTCGCATTGTTCATTTAGAATAGTAAAGCTTATTAAAATATAGATTTGTTTGTCCTAAAAATAAAGCATCGTACGTTTCAGGCACACCAATCACACATAAACTATCCCTATTTTAATAGTGAGTAGTGAAAGATTTAAAATCACATGTTAGGCTTTGAGGTGTTTAGTCAATTGTTGTGATGATAAAAAGAAAGAGTTCAATTTTTTGTGCATACAATTTTCTTTCATCAAAGACTTGAGACAAATAAGAATCTAAACTATTCCCCATCTTATTGCAGCAAGCTGAGCACTTTTTCAATAAGTTTATTATTAATTACCCCATGCTGTTATTATCCTGATACCAGAATAAATATAGGAGATTGTATAAAACACTAGACTGTCGGGTAAAAAAAAATAAGAACCAACATTTAGGTGCACGTGAAGTAGAGGAACAGTTGTTGCATTTCCTGTGTTGGGATTGTATTAATATTTTGTCATATTACAGATTAAACTGCCACATGAAAGAAAAATATTATTTGATTACACAAAAAAAAAAAAAAAAAAATTGGTTAGGATACTTTATGTTCAATGAAGTGGTCAAAAATATAAAGTTTACTTTCTGTTTCTAATTGTGTGTTGCATATTAACAATTATTATGAGTTAACAGCAAGTATTAGTTTAAAAAAAATGCTGTTTTTTTATTGATTTTTTTTTGTTTTTGTTTAGCTGGTTAAAAAAATGTATCCCATGGTTTTTAATAACTTTACCAAATGGAAGCATATATTATGTAAAGAGCATTGGTCCAAGCACTGAACTCTGAGGAACTCCATTATTAACTTTGGTGTAAGAAGAATATTCATTATTTACATTTACAAACTGGAATCTATCAAATAAGTATGATATATATTTTTTTCCTGTAAATTTAGCATTAACTTGCTACATTTAACTAATTTGCAAAAGCAAATATCCACTTTAACATAGTTTGAAACTTTACTGCATTTTTTTCATGTTCAGTATGAAAAAAAAAGTATAGATCACAGTTACAGAGCTAACATACTTGGAAGTGCCTTATGTGTACTGGAGATAACTGTATTGATAAAATGTGTTCTGAAAGTTTTGGACCAAACTTCAACATATTCCAGTACTGCACTGCTTTCCAAAATGGTGTATTAGTAATAAAGAGATTATGATCTTCAAGAAAACCTTTTTTAATTGTTTTAATTGTCAAAAAAAAATCTGTTTTTAAAGCACGTCTTGGGCAGTTCCTTTAGAAGTAGAACAACTTTGCACCATCTGTCCAGAGAACATGAAGTGGGAAATGCAGGGCCTCTTACAAGGGGCCACTCCCTGTATGTCTCTGTGCATTTAATCGTCTTCCTCAAAGGTATGTAGGTAGGTTTTGAGGCTCAGAGTGCTGGTGTATGTGAGGTTTGTAGCTCGGTAAAGGTCCAGGCCCGTCAAGATTTCTATATCTCGGACTCGAGCTGTGTGGAGCTTCAGCAGGTCTTCCACCCACTGGGAATCGTCCTCAGCGCTCTGCAGAAACACGTGAGAGAGGGAAAAGGTACAGAACACTGAGGACAAATTTTCAGATAAGAATGAACTGGAAAACCTAAAAACTTCTGTTTAGAGTTTATTGGCAGGAAAATATCAACACACAACTAGCTGGATTAACTTTTTATGACAAACATATCAAGACTGCAGAAATACACAAAAATCAGATCCACTGACGCAACTAAACACGACCACACCTAGAAAACGCAGATGTAAAAATGTATGGACTTGTTTTTGCATTCCAGAAATCAGTGAGCAGCTGAAACACAAAGATAGATAAAATTAGACCTCACTCACTGGGAATAATAATAATAAAATTATATATATATATATGTTTACCAGATGCCATGTAGGGCAATGATTAGATTTAAATGTGATTTTCATTTTTTTTTTCCAACACATCCTCAGACATGCATCTACTCACGTCCTCTGTGAGAGTGACCTTAAAAGACCCCGGCTTCCAGAGTAAATTCATGGTGCAACATGTTTACCTGGCCTGTTTTTCCAGCTCACAGGCTTCAGCCTCTGGCTGTGTTTGTGCTGCCAGCATGACTTCACCACATGTTTCCTGAGAGCCTTCAAAATAAAACCCTGTTCATGTGTGCCAGTCTTCATTCACCACGCACTTGTTGAACAACTCGTTTTGTATTACGGGTCCCATGGAAGCCTGTAATGTTTTCCCTTAGTTGATTAAAAGTATGTTTTTGTGTAAGCAGTCACCCGATGTGTTAACAAAGTTAAAAATAATGTTTAACTACTTTGTAATAAAGAAAATAAATGCATTTCTTTTAAAGGGAGTACTTTGTACACCCCTTAAAAGAACTGCAACAACAGGGGGCGAGAACAACTTTAATGTCTTTGTCTGTTGACAAATAGTGTTTCCTTTACTTTTTTCCAAGCAACATGTAAAAAATAACTAAATAAATTAAACATAACATAAATGCAGGCAGTGACCTTATGTTAACTTTGTGAAACAAATATTTTATTTTATTTTTTTCTGATAAAAAGGGGAAATCCTCCAATTGATCCTGTTGGCGACCTGATAAGGATACAGTAACGTAGGCTTAAAGTTGGTTTGCCGGCATAGGCTATTCAAAAAATTGACAAATTAAATATATCATCTAAATTTTATTGATTTGTGTTAGATCTTCAACTATAAAATAAATTGTTTTTTAAAACAAAGAAAAAAACATATATATATATATATATATATTTTTTTTTTTTACAGGAGACCTTAATTATGTGTAAAAATTATACATGATCTTGTTTTATTCTTTTCTTCCCTTACAGGAAATTCAGACTAATTTACCATAACTGCCTGTATGACAACTGGAACATTTTCTCATAAGAGCTTCCAGGACACAAGAATGAATAATTAATATGTAATAAACCACCGTTTGTTTCAGACGTGAACATCATGACAACGATTTATGGTTGCTCTATTCGCCGGTAGTCATTAAAGCCAATCATAACAAGACAGTTCAGCATGTTGGGATCTTATTAAACAAAACAAAACAAAATGTTCTGGATGATGTTGCAATATCAGTTAAAATACGTTTTTCTTCAACACAAAAAAACTTGCTAGATCACTTAAATATTATGTATTTTTCAATAATTTCCTAAAAGAAATACTTGAAACATGCACACATGACAACATGTGGGATATATATATATATATATATATATAGATAGATATATAG